TCTAAAAAGAAGAATCCATTGCATCTGATAATGTTAAGTATCTTATAACAATAAAAAAAGCTATTAATTTTTAAAAAGTACTTAAATTGAACAGTCTAAAGAGGTAATAATGTCAATGTATGTATTTCACATCATCTCTTCAAGATTCTTAATTTCCTGACCATTACACCGATCAACTATTATAGCTTTCTTCAGTTTATGGAACCACATCTCTTCCAAGTATCGTACAATATTGGGTTTATGCAAGGATCACTATATCCATTGTATATCTTTACTATCAATTGAAGGTAAGGTGGTTTAGTTAGTGGCATGCAGTGACTAAAAAATTATCTCAAAAATTGTCCGATGTAAATGTATGACTGTATCATTAATAGCATTTGTTGACACAATACTGAGCAATGATCTTAAATTATCAGTGCTAGTATCAATATCAATATCAATAGTGATCTCATCTACTTTGATTGATTTCACTTTAGAAAATAAACAGAGTACATCATTGTTCTTATTGAAGGCCTGGTATCAGATAAATGATTACTTTGTTATTATATCGCCCACCTCTACTCATTTGAGTCATTTCACTCCACAAAATTTCCAGTGATACATGTATTAATAAACCACATCACAGTAGGTGTGTATAAGCATACAGGTATACATACATTACATACATTGTATGCATGAGTACATGATGTACATTACAATGCATGAATAGTAAAAAGTGACTCTGCCTAAAATTTGGTCATTTCAACCAATTAACTGTATTTTAGTATTTTTTCAATAATGAATGTACACTACCCAACTCTTTGCATGAATTTGTTTGCAGATTAAAGTAACCACAAAGTTACATTGTGTTTTATTGTGACCATTTAAGAGTTTTGTCTCTGTCTCTTTCATTTATTCATTCATTGAACTGTTTTTATTTCTACACAGAAATATGTGCTGTGTCACGTCATTCAAAGAAAGAAATAGGAAGATGCTTCAAGCTTATTCGTCAAGCAGCAAACCCAGCAATGAATACTGTATCAACTACTGACTTTATGGTTAGTGAATAGAAATAATTTTAATTCATTTTATTATCATTATTATTAGAGTCAAGGTATTGTACTAATCTTGGTTTTCCATTGTTAGTTCAGTTCAGTTTGGTATTGGTGTGATTGAGCCTGCCTTAAAACCACATAGAGTCATCAGTAATGATGAATGGTACTATACTCCTGGGTTGACAAATGGTGGATACAAAATAAAGGAGCTTGGCTGATAGGCTGAGCATGTTTAGTTATTCCTAGTGTTGTTGCAGAGGATAATGGCTCCCATGCCTACCTCAGTGGACTTTCTTGTGGTGTTGTCCTCGGAGAGAAGGTTAAAGAGAATGTTATTACCAGCTTGACATGTACTTATGTTGCATAGAAAGTTTGAACTGATTCCAATTAATTTTGGATTCCTTACAAATTTTTAAAGTTCCTCCCCATCAATATCAATGATTTATATTAGTTATTAATTATTCTCCTCTCAATAGGCTCCAGTCTTGATACACTAACAGTACTTGGTTCTCATGGATGTGATGTCATTCTCCTAGCTAATGACAGTTCTTTAATACACCTCACTCTTCACTCCTCCTCCTCCTAGCAACAGTCACTGGCTCTCTCTTCAGTCTTCAGTATAGAACCAAACATGGAGTCCTTCCAGTATGATGACACTCTTCCACAATATGTCGGGAAGTTGAACGACGTCCTTTTTAAATGGCCACTGCTGTTCACTCTCACTGAGGATGGGATTGTGTGTATCCTAATTAATGCCCCATGCACAGTCATTAGCCTTGGTTTTTTTTTCAAAAAATGGCTAAAAATTCACCCCCCCAATTTTTATTACATTTTCTAATACATTGATGTCCTTATGCTGTGTAGGAAGTTTGAGCTGAATCTGACTTAAATTTTTAGAGTTACAGCCATTTTAAGAAATTTGCCAAAATATAAAAAACACACAAAGCTATAGCCCATGGTTTTTTTTTTGAAAAAATGGCTAAAAGATCACCCTCAATTTTTATTAAATTTTCTGATACATATTGATGTCCTTATGCTGTGTAGAAAGTTTGAGCTGATTACGAATTAAATTTTTGTGTTACGGCCATTTAAAGAAATTCGCTAAAATCTGAAAAATACCCAAAGCTATAGCCCATGGTTTTTTCTTCAAAATGGCTAAAAATCACCCCCAATTTTTATTACATTTCCTGATACGTATTAATGTCCTTATGCTGTGTAGAAAGTTTGAGCTGATTCCAATTTAAATTTTTAGAGTTTCAGCCATTTTTAAAAATTTGCCAAAATTAAAAAAATAAACAAGGCTATAGCCCATGGTTTTTCCCGAAAAATGGCTAAAAAATACCCTCAGTTTTTATTAAATTTTCTGATACATATTGATGTCCTTATGCTGTGTAGAAAGTTTGAGCTGATTCCGACTTAAATTTTCAGAGTTACAGCCATTTTAAGCAAAGGCCGAAATCTGAAGAATGCCCAAGGCTTATGCATGTGTATAATGATTCTCCTTTCTTTCTCTATCCTCTCCTTTCTTCTTGTTATTTTTTCTCTTTGAGCTATGTACATGTACATGTACATTAATCATTAATAATGTACAATTATCATCCTTAACTTCATTATTATCCAGTGGTCTACAGTGTCTCTAATGCTATGATTATTGCTGCCATTCATCCACTGGAATACTGTAGAATGTTTAGCTATAACACTCCAGGTAAGCATTTACAATTTTATGATAAAATTAAAATTAAAATACCTCCTAAGGCTCCTATTCTTTTCATGTTTAGATGGTCCCTCTCTCTTACAAACTCTGTCTTTGTCATCATTTCATAAAATCTCTGTCTCTCCTGATCTAGGAGTGTCTCTTAATTCATTGGATCAATGTTCCCTCCCACTCAATGCACTGGAGACTGGAACTGAGACATAGTGTCATTCTTCGTTAGGAATAGAGGTAAATGATACTATTTATAGTAACACTGATACTATTTATAGTACAATGCCATTGATTGTCTCTATGCTATTGTAGTATATAATATATCATTGTCTATTGTAGTAATTGATACTATCAAGAGTGGATAATTATTTAGGGAGAGTGTCTAACCCGCCTATAATCTGTGATACCACAGTGCGTAAGTTTACATAGCATGGTTATTAGCACCAAGTAGCCATTCTTGCGTCCTTATACTGATTCAAAGTCAGAAGGCTGCAACGATGCTAGTGTACACGTTTGGTAGTGATGTAGTAATTCAAAAATTGCCCATTGCACAAAAATTTGTTGTCGGAATCAACTCAAACTTTTTTATTAGCAACAGACAGACAGACGTAAATAGTAATAATGATGTATATTGCTTTGCTTGGCTTGTCCCCTTAATGTTTTACATTCATCTTGTAATAATGTGTCATTTTGTAATATTGGGAACTGTGATTTCAATTGAATAGTAAGCAGATATAGAAGTGAAACACAACTGAGTGTATGAAAGAACAGCACGCGTATCTCAGTGATGTGAGAATGGCAACTACGCTAGGCTTAAAGAGGACTTTAAATGAGAATAGAATAATAAAGTAGAAGGAAGAAGGAAAAATGAATGAACCACAAACACAGTAAAAGCATGCACTTATACTAAAAATCATGATACATCATATGATGTCATACTGACAGTCCATTTATAAATAGAAATAACAATGGCCACAATAAGGATAACACACATTCATGTAATTAACAATAAGAATAACAATAATAATACATGCATAATGATCATTACATAACATTTGTACAACAACATTGATTACATAGTAATAATAATAATGGTATATTGTAGTTACGTGTACTGGTACATGTATGCATAAATGTCAAAGCACCATTATCACACATTTGATAATAAGTAATAGTTATAAGCAAAGTAAGATACTATAGGCAGCCATCTTAACAGAATAAGTGATGATAGAAAACAATAATTTCAATAAACAAAAGAACTAGGCAATCAACTGGTTTGATGTACAATATTTATCTCTAATGTAACTAGCAATAGATTTCTCTTCTATTGTATCCAGTGCTGTAGCTAATGATGACCAACTGGGACCTCCTTTCTCTCTCACTTTATCTTCTCCTCTTAACCAGGCAGACATACACTGTATCAGACATGGCTTGCATTCTCCATGATCCTTCTTAATAGCATTTAGTGTTGGATCATATAATCCTAAATGAAGTCCAAACTCATACCAGTTAGAATAACCATAATGATTGAGTATTGTTAGCTCTTCAATTACAGTATCAAGATCTTTAATATCTATAAAAATAATAATTAATAATGTGTATATACACTGTACAGTCTACACTCCCACTACTTGACAATTGTGATAGTACATATTATAACATACCTAGCTTAATTGCAGTTGCTGTGTTGAATTCTTCAGTTATTTCAATCACTTCCTGTACAATAATATAGTTTTTCAGTTGTAGTGTAGAGTAAAAAAATTACATGCACATGTATACGTCAATTACTGTATAGCTCTAAATTTTTGTAGGTAAAATTTTCGTCGAATTTGTCAGGTATTATTGTTTGATGAAATTTTTGTTTCACATGGATAGTATGCAAATTAAAAGCAGAAAATGACGGATATTTTTTTGAAGAAAATTAATTTTGACAAGAAATTAAGATTGTCACAAATTTTGACCGAAAATAAATTGGAGTCAAACGGAATTAGTAATAAAAGCTACATGACAACACACAAAGACAGTAATGTAAGAAATAAATTTACTTTTTAAGATGTGATATTATTGCTTGTAATACTGTATCAAACATTTTGTGAGTTAATTCTTACCTTAATATCGCATCCTCCTAATAGTGACAGGTTACTAATATCTGATAATGATTCATCAGGTAGGATCTCCTTCAATTCTGTACGTCTAGTACCAGTGGTAACAAGAAATGGTCATTGTTCAACTACTGCTGAGAGTACAGCTTTTACACTATACGTTGTCCTTTCTTTTGGTGTATTCACAGGATAGGCTAGTTCTTTAGGATCAATAACTAACTCTTTTACCTCTAGACTGGGACACGATTCTTTATAAACACTCATTACCTCTCCTATCACATCTCTTCTTAGAGACACCATATTGTCACTGTAACCTTTCTCACAGGACATCATTACTAGTACACACTGGCTCTCATCCACAATCTCTACCAGTGATCCTACACCATGACCATTAAACCAATAAAGTCCATTCTTCCAAAATGTACAATAATGATTTAAATTGTCATCTTCTTGAGGTAGAGCCATTTTGTAAGCAAGACGTAACGAGAGGACGTGAAAATATCGGGGAGGAAAGAAATGATGTTTACTAGTACACTGTAGACACCAGCCAAACTGGTACAGTTGACTAGTCATCTCATCAGGTCTATCAGTAGACAAAAGACATGGAAAGAACAACAGCGTTTCTCCTCTTTTTTCTGTCCCTCCCTCCTTCTCCTCTTCCACTGCTAACTGATGGAGGTTTGTCACTGTTAGGAAAGATGGATTCATTTGTTGACAGAGTTCCATGTTCTTGAGAAAACAGATCAATATTTTAGGATCATATTCAGGAAAAAGTCTAGTCAGACCAGACACACTAACAATACCAGTATTGCTAGCAATGTCAACGTGTTGTTTGAATGTCTCTGGAGCAAAGAGAATCCCATTCACCTCAGTTAGTAGTATACCCTTATTCACAACAACCCATACCTTGTCTTCACTTTTAAGAACACTGATCAAACCAGTTGAGTACAATGAATGAAAAACATCCAAGATGTCTTCTCTTTTATATGGTATAAAATAATCATCATTGTCCTTACCAGCAGACATTACATCAGAGAGGGTCAGTATATTCTCTTTCCTTTCCTCCAGTAGACCATACATCATGTGACAATGAAGGCTCAAATTCCTTCCATTTGTGCTACGAATGGACTCACAGGCACTAGACAACTTATTAAAGAAGGAATCCACACCACTCCCACCAAGCTTACGTCAATCTAAGGAGACACTGTCACACCTTTCCCTTACAATAATCTCCTGTATTTCTTCCTTTCTCATTCTCCTTTCCGCAGAATTACTTATCTGATCCACATGACTGACTATTACAATAACATGGCATTGATTAAGAGCTTTCTGTGCTTCATTTGTGACAACTGTTAGCCACTGATGAAGGTGTTTGACTGGTTCCTTCTCCAATATATTGACTACTATGAGGAACACACCACCAGAACCTTGTAACAGATTCTCAATGACATGCAGCACTGTGACTGGAGTAGTATTCTGAATGGCCAGCAAAATCATGAAGAATGATGTTACCCAGTTTCCTGTGTTTTAGTTTATAAGGAATGATACCAGCAGTACAGGGCACCACCCCTCCAACATTTCTAAAGGAACCAAGAACAATAGAACCAGTAGCTGTGTCATTGATGACGTGGCTAAGAGTACTTTTACCAGCTCCAGGATTACCCACAAGGAGAACGTTAACATAAGAATCAATTGGATGAGATGATTCTATATCACCAAACTTCTTAAAGATAGGAAGAGTATTAGTCCTTATTTTCTGTCCTGCTGACTCTTTAGCTAGTTGTAATGGTGTTCTCCCCTCATTGTCTTTAGCCAATGGATCACATTTACCAGTTGATAGTAAACATTCAACAGCTACAAAATGACCCCAATAAGCAGCCCAGTGAAGTGGTGTCCGCCCCTTCTTGTCAATAGTCATTGGATCACAGTTACACTCATTGATTAGATATTTGATTACATCAGGTGTGTTGTACTTAGCAGCTGCTACATGAAGAACAGTCTCACCCTCATTGTTAGTAGCCATTGGATCACAGTGATGATGATTGATCAAGTACTTTATGACATCAAATGATCCATGAGCAGCTGCTCTATGAAGAACAGTATCTCCGAATATATCAGTATTCATTGGGTCTAAGTGACACTCATCAATGAGATATCTCATCACATCAACATGATTATCTACTGCAGCATAATGAAGACAAGTCTCACCTCCACTATCTCTTTCCTGTGGGTCACAGTGATATTTAGTGATGAGATCCTTTGTAACATCTAACCAGCCATTCCTTGAAGACAAATGATGTAAACTAGTGTTATCCCTTTTCCCATTCCTTCTTTTAATTTTATTTGGTTCCTTAACAAATGGTAGTATGTTAACAGCTTTATTATGATGATCTCCATCCTTTAACCATCCATACTCAAACACTTCCCAGCACTTGTCCTCTAACGACATCTTGTAATGAAATTCATTGTTACCATATTAGGAATAGGAATGTATTATTTATGCACTATAAACACACACACACACACCATGACTAAGAGAGAGGGAGTGATAGACAGAGGAAATAAAAATTAATCAGACATAGCATGCACACCTACAGCCTCAGCAAATATGAGCTTCATATAAATAAAGTTAATGTTTTTAAAATCCTCATTATAACTATCAGAAAATAACTTAATCATCCTAAATGAGTACTTTATGTATTCTTACTCTTCAAATCACTAGCTATAAGTACCTCCCTCAGCTCCTCCTCTTCCTTTCCTCCTCCTCCCCTCCTCTGATAACCTACACTACTGTACAGTCTCAAGCTTCTTCCAACTGATCTCTAGTGGTACATGTAACAATGAGTAATGGGACAAAGGAGGTAACACCTGTTTAAAGTGTTAGTGTGCCTATAATCACTTGAAATTAAGAAATTAAATAAATTGCTGATTAAGAAACTCGTGGAGTGGTTTGACCTTTTGACACATGCTTTAAGAGTATAACTGAATTCAACTTCAGTGGCAATGTAATTTTAGGACTAGTACTGTACTAGTCCTAACATTACAATGCCACTGAAGTTGAATTCAGTAAGTGAATTGAAGTTGAATTGTAAATCCATCTTTACACAAAATAGATAAGGTCAAGCCATACTCACAATTAATAAATGACATAATGGCAATAACTAATGACAACAACCCACTAATGTGCAATCCAAACAGATTTTATTTAGTCCATTACATGCATAAGTACTTTTGATGTATGCTTTCTGCTGTAATCGATCCAGATTCGATTCCAGCATCAACGTAACGTCAGGACTAGCATAATATTGTGAACCAACCTTAACCGATTCAACTTCAGTGTCAATGTAATGTTATATAGGACGAATATCAATAAGCCAATAACTGTACAACAACCCACTAAATAATGTACCATTCAGGCAGATTTTGTTTTATATTGTCCATTACACAACTACTAATTTTTAGCATTAATTTTAATTAACATATTATTGATGATGCATTCAATTCATAGTCACTTCAATTTTATTATATCTGCTTAAATTAGAACATGCATTTAAATCTAAACGGGAGATCTCATTGTATCTGATAGTGTCAAGTTTATTTTCCCTCCTGTTTCTTTACTTGTTAATTTATCACAATAAAAAAATGAATAAATGAAAACACAACTTTATTCTAATATTAAGTTATTAGCTAGATATTAGTTTTGATAAGTATTTGAATTGAACAGTCCAAAGAGGTTCACAAATAATGTCAATGTATGTGTTTCACATCATCTCCTCAAGATGCTTTATTTCCTGACCATTACACCGATCAACCATAATAGCTTTTTTCAGTTTGATGGCACCACGTCTCTTCCAAGTATCACACATTACCATTGATAAATATCCATTACAACATCCATTGTTAACTATCAATTGAAGATAAGGTGGTTTAGTTGGTGACAGTGAATTAAAAATTATCTCCAGGAGAATTGACTGACCAAATTCTATGACTATTTTTAGTAGATCTATTTCATTAATAGAAACAGTCATATCATTTGCTGACACAATACTGAGCAATGATCTTAAACTATTAGTGTTAGTATCAGTATCAATATCAATAGTGATCTCGTCTACTTTGATTGATTTCACTTTAGAAAATAAACAGAGTGCATCATTGCTTCTAATCTTCAATGATTTCAATGCAATGTACTGAGGAAGAAAATTAGACTCAAGAATATGAGAGGCATCACTTACACTTGTATATAAATACACACGAGCTACATCAAGTGATTTTAATTTTGTTCAGTGTTGATAGCTAGAGGATCACTAGAATCAAATGTAACCTTAACCAATCTAAGTGTGAGAGGATAAGGAGAGAGAAAGAATGCAGACAGTAAGGAATGGACACCTTTAAAGGAAGTGAATGATGTACCGACTTTGATATGCAATTGCTTGAAACATGGTCGATACATTAGTTTTGATAAACATTGAATAAAGTCATTTTCATAAGTTTCAGACATAATTGAGACCACTTCTAAATTTATATGTCGTTGTATAACTTCTTGAAACTTTTCAGTATTTTCACTATCATGGTAATCCACTTTTAATATCTTAAGGTCACATTGCTGTTGAAGATAGTCCACTAATAAAGGTTCATATTCATTACACATGATGCACTCAACAGATGCTGCTAACTTAGCTGCAATGTCACAATTAAAAAATGCCAAATCATAGAAATTGGGTAGTGCTCTATCAGTAAGTAACTTAAGAGGAATATGTAAGTCAATCATAGTGACAGCTAAATCCGAGAAATAAGAGAAATAATCATGTGAATTCCAACAATTACATTGTGTTAATACTTTACTTTGGAATTTTATTGTAGTTACTCGACCGAAGCATTGCCACCAAACAACATTATGAAAGGTTGCCATCTTGATTCATCATATACTGATTCCTCAACATGAGTAAAGTATACAGACAATTCTTTGTTAGCTTCATAAAATGTAGTATAATGACATGTAAATATGTAACTGAAGTATAAATCTTTCCACGAAAGCAAAGGAATGTACTCATCTACACATGGTGACCAACAATCCTTACAGGTCCTTTCCTTGTAGAGTGTCTCCCATATCTCATCCATTAATATATCAGCAGTAACTGATGTACCTTCCAACTTATGTACATCTACTGCTGGTAGAAGGAGGAGGAGTTTGATACGAATAGAATGAGGTAGTAATGCTAGTCCGGGAATAGGTTTATCATCATCATCAAACAAGTTACCTATTAAATACAGGAGACACTGGATCAGAAGAGGAACTGGGAGAGAATCCATCAATAGTGTGTTACTATAGACTAGTGGTTGAATGAGTTACAGTTTCTGATCAGTTGGTAGATTATTTGTTGGTAACTTGTTGATTGGTGACACTGTGTCCTTGAATAAGGAACCTAATCTTTATATTGCAGTACTCTTGTGATGTCAGTAATGTATTGCACAATAGGTGTTAACTCATGACATGAAGTTATAATCATTGGGTTGTTATAAGTGTTACTGTCAGTGTCAGTGGTTTGCTAGAACAAGTTATGATGTTAATTGTTAATCATATCTTGCAAAATTGTGTTAACCAATGGTCACAGTGGCATGTACAAGTGCAAATTTGCCTACCAAATGAAGATCATTTCACCAATCAGTCCTCCACCAAATTTATAGTTGTGTTAGCATAGAAAATGCCTTTTTGCATGTATAGCAACCATTTTTCTACAAACTATAAAACTACATTTGCTGTATATGCATTTGAATATAGGTTGTATAAGCATACTTGTATGCATACATTATATGATTATGTGGATCTACATTACAATGCATTACTAGTAAAAAGTGATTCTGCCTAATATTTGACCATTTTACCCAATAAACTATATTTTGTGTTTTTACAATAATGAATGCATATACGCAACTCTTTGCATGAATTTGCTTGCAGATATAAGTAACCACAAAGTTGCATTATGTTTTATTGTGACTATTTAAGACTGAGTTTTGTCTCTGTCTCTTTCATTTATTCATTCATTGAACTGTTTTTATTTCTACACAGAAATATGTGCTGTGTCACGTCATCATGTTCAAAAAAAGAAATTGAAAGATGCTTCAAACTTATTTGTCAATAAGCAGCAAACCCAGTAATGAATGCTGTATCAACTACTAAAGCATGATTAGTGAGTATATTGAGGAAGTATAGGTTTCAAAGATCACCTGATACTCAGGTTAGTTGTAGATGAACTTGTTCATTATAATTTTAAAAATACTTTCATGCATAATTTATTTTTATTTTTGTAGATATCAATAAAGAAGAAACAAGCTATTATTCAATCTCCAAAATATGGTTTTTTAAAGAAAGACTAATTTTAAATTGGATAAATTGGAATTAATATTATTTTTATTTTCCGGGATTTTACAAGCATAATATTATTTTTAACTTTTTTAATAAAAATTAATGATAATAATTAAAGTTTCTGTAATTTTTATTGCATCAATCTCAAGGGCGTGGTGTGGGTGTAGTTGCCCTGCCTTAAAACCACGTGGAGTCATCATGATCATTATGTGAACTAGAATGGGTACTCCTGGGTTTCCTATGGTCGATACAAGATAAGGGAGCTTCTGCTTGGCTGATAGGCTGATCGTGTTTAGTTGCTCCTAGTGAGTCAGAGAGTTGTTCCAGAGGATAATGGATTCCATGCTTACCTCAGGCTAAGTGGACGTGTGGAATTTCTTGTGGTGTTGTCCTCTGAGAGAAGGTTAGAGAGGGAATAGTATTACCAGCTTCACATGTACTTATGTTGCACAGAAAGTCTGAACTGATTCCAATCATAAATCAATGTTCCGATGTGGCCAAAGTCCTTTGGCGGCTGCAGAAGTCCAACTCAGCCTAGGCATTTCTAATTAAAGGGGTGTGGTAAAAGGGTTAAATAGCATTGTTTCTACTTCCGGTCTAATTTTTAACCTAGGCAATGACCCCCAATGCCTAGGCCTGCTGCCGCCTATGCCAAAGTCCCTGTTCTATTAGTCATAATTAAAAGGAGAGATTTCAGCATTTTAATAATTTTATTCTCATGCATATACGTGTTCTTATATGATATAGAAAGTTTGAGCTAATACCGATTAAATTTGGATTTTTTTACGAATTTTTCAAGTTCCTCTCCATAAATACAAATTTTGTTATTAATAGTTATTAATTATTCTCCTTTCTCCTCTCAATAGGCTCCAGTCTTGATACACTAACAGTACTTGGTTCTCATAAAGGAGACGTCATTTGACTAGCTAATGACAGTTCTTTAAACACCTCCTCCTCATCCCAGCAACAATCTAATGGCCCTCTCTTTAGTCTTCATGGAGTCGTTCCAGTATGATGATACTCTTCCACAATATGTTGGGAAGTTGAAAGACATTATTTTTAATTGACTGCTGCTATTCACTCTCACTGAGGACGGGATTGTGTGTATCCTAATTAATGCCCCATGCACATTTCTTAGCATTAGGCTTTTCCAAAATTGGCTCCAAATTTTTATTACATTTTCTAATACATAATGTTTTATGCAGTGTAGAAAGTTTGAGCTGATTCCGACTTAAAGTTTTTAAGTTATGGGCAAAGGCCAAACTCTGAAAAATACCCAATGTTTATACACACGTACTTCTTTCTTTCTCTATCCTTTTTTTCTTCTCTTTATTTCTCTCCCTGAGCTTTGTACATGACTACATGTACTACATGTACATTAATCATTAATAATGTACTATTATGATCCTTAACTTCATTATTATCCAGTGGTCTACAGTGTCTCTAATGCTATGATCATTGCTGCCATTCATCCACTGGAATACTGT